CTGTGGAAGCACGGAGCAGATCCCTCCCCCAGTGAGAGAAGACGTTTTCTCCTCTGCAGTTTGGTTGCCTGGAGCAATGAGTGCAGGGTGGCCTTTGGTGGTGGCACTGGTGCCACCCTGAGCCTGTCTGGTGGCTGGGCTGGGTCTTTGCAGCAGCTTCACTCCTGCCTTGGACAGCAAGCTGGGGGTGCTGGTGGGAGCTGGGGTGTCTCCCATGTGACATCCCTGGGGCCAGGGCTGTGACATCCCTGGGTAGAGGGCTGTGACATCCCTGGGGTCAGGGCTGTCACATCCCTGGGTTCAGAGCTGTGACATCCCTGGGTAGAGAGCTGTGACATCCCTGGGGCCAGGGCTGTGACATCCCTGGGGTCAGAGCTGTGACATCCCTGGGTAGAGGGCTGTGACATCCCTGGGTTCAGAGCTGTGGCATCCCTGGGTAAAGGGCTGTGACATCCCTGGGGCTAGGGCTGTGACATCCCTGGGGTCAGGGCTGTGACATCCCTGGGGTCAGAGCTGTGACATCCCTGGGGTCAGAGCTGTGACATCCCTGGGTAGAGAGCTGTGACATCCCTGGGGCCAGCGCTGTGACATCCCTGGGGTCAGAGCTGTGACATCCCTGGGTAGAGAGCTGTGACATCCCTGGGGCCAGCGCTGTGACATCCCTGGGGTCAGAGCTGTGACATCCCTGGGTAGAGAGCTGTGACATCCCTGGGGCCAGCGCTGTGACATCCCTGGGGTCAGAGCTGTGACATCCCTGGGTAGAGAGCTGTGACATCCCTGGGGCCAGCGCTGTGACATCCCTGGGGTCAGAGCTGTGACATCCCTGGGTAGAGAGCTGTGACATCCCTGGGGTCAGGGCTGGGTGCTGCTGTGCAGCCACAGCCACTGGTGCTGATTTATCACTGGCAAGGCATTAGCTGTGTCTGCCTGCATTTAATCTCCACTTTGGTGTTGAGGGAGAGCCCCATGTCAGTTCAGTTAATTGTCTGCTAAAGACTCTGCTCCTTCCTTCTTTCGTGCTAGATTCACCTTTTCTCTTTTCCTTTCTGCAATGCCCTCAGGTAAAAGACAAACGGCAACATATAAAAAATGACCCGAGTCCCTTAATTTGAACCAGAGGAGACAATAACAGTCTGGAGACAGAGCTGGATTTATCTTTTCTCTCCGATGGAGGCCCCTCCTCCCGATGGCTGTGGGACGGGGCGAGCAGCATCTGAAGCAAATTGAGGGTAACCTTTCATTCCACAGGGATCTTCCAGCAGGGTTTGCCGGTCCCTGGGACATCTGCAGCCCTCATGTTGGATTTTGGCAGCCTCTGAGCCCATTGTCAGCCAGTTCCATTGCATTAGCTGGTAATGGACAGAGGGATGTGTGCCAAGTGGGCCCATGCAGTGGAGCCCTGGGAGCTCTGGCCCTGGGCACGGCCACAGAGCTCGGGCAGCTCTGGCTGAGGACTCACATCGTGGGCCTTGCCAGGGTCTGTTTATGCAGCCCAAACTGCAGCACTTTCCTTCTCTGTGCTGTTCTCCTCGCGGGTGCCTGGGCAGCGGCTCAGGGAGGAGCTGGGAAAGCAACCAGGGGCTCGCCCTGAGGCTCATTCACAGGCACTTCTCCTTCTTGTGTCCAACAACACGGAAAAACGAGAGTGATGCATATCAAAAGGAGGAGCAGGGAATCTCTGCCTTGGGAGCTGTTGGACCAGCAGCTCAGCAGGAGAAGCTGAGTGTCAGACTCACGATGCTCTTACTGCATTCAGTGTTTATGGGGTTTGCAATTAGTTTGTCCGAGTTTGGAGGTGCTTACTGTGCCTCAGTTGTGACTTGGTTGCTGTTACAAACTCACTTTTATGTCCACGCTGATTCCATACTGATCCACTGCCCTCCTGGCCATTCCCTTCCCTTCAGTGCTCCAGCTCATTTTCTGATTTGTGATCAAAATCAGAAAGTGACCAAGGAGTGTGATCAGGACCCTTTATAAAACCTTTAATTGCATTTCATAACCTCTTTCCCTAAACCACCTTCAGTGTGTTTAGAAACTTCCTCTGCCTTGTTTGCTGTTTTTGGGTTGTGCTGTGCAGGGCCGGGAGCTGGACTTGATGGCCCTTGTGGGCTCCTTCCAACCCAGCACGTTCTGTGATTCCATAATTCTGTGATTTATTGTGCCTCAGCTGAGGGAAGGACAGGTCAGTGAAGTGTCAGCCCCATCCCTGGAACAGCCACATCTGCTGACACCCAGGGCCTTGGTGCTCTGGAGGGTGCCCAGCAGCAGGTTCAGTGCCTTCACAGAATCCCTGCTGTGTCCTGCTGAAGCCCTGATAAATCCCTGCTGCAAGTTTTTTAGAAGATCCCTGCAGCTCTTGCTGCCTTTCAGGGATTGTTTGTTTGGTTTTAGCACAATGTAAGCAAACTGGAGGTTGGAGGAAATTGCAGTGCCCCCAGCAAAGTGCCTGACTCCTCCGGAGGAGTGTTTGCACACAGACAGTAACGACAAAGTCATGGCTCCATCCCCGGGATGGGAAGTGTGCACGGATAGACTTCATCCCCTAGATCAACAGCTTTTCATTTCCATCCCTCTTTCCCAGGAAGTTCAGCAGTGGGTGGCTCCAGAGGCTTTGGAGGAAGGAAGGAAGGAAGGAAGGAAGGAAGGAAGGAAGGAAGGAAGGAAGGAAGGAAGGAAAAGGCTCTGTCCTGGGATTTTGGCTGCCAGCCTGGTACCAGCAGGGACTCAGATTGTCTGGTCCAGGCTGAGCCCAGCAGCGTGCTGTGGGTTCTGTGGGTGCTGTGACAGTGCCAGAACATCAGCAGCAGGACACGGCCCTCCCTGTGTCACCTCGGGCAAGCAGAAAAACAAACAAACCCGGGATAATGGCCAAGCACCTTCTGGGGGACTTGCAACTTCCTAACTTTATTTAAAAAAATAAGGAAAAAAGTAAATTTTCTCTGTCAGAGCGCAGCTATCATCACGCAGTGGCACTTACAAATATTATAAACAATGGTGTCAGTTTATGGGGCTGGAGACGTTTTCCGGTGGCTCGCTCAGCTTCCCTCTCCCCAGCGAGCTGGAAGCAGGGCAGGATGGCCAGGATGAGCCTGGGGAATGAGGGACAATCGGAAGGGTTTGTGCAGACGCCGGGGTCTCCATCCGTGCCCCGTTCCCCGCAGCTGGAGCCGCTCCCGCACTGCCGCCGCTGCGCGCAGCCGAGGTGGGACGAGCCGGGCTCCCGAACCCTCCCCGGCAGCCCCCCGGCACTCCTCCCCGCCTGCTCCTCATTTTCTCCCACCTCAGCACTTTCTCTGCCTGCAGCCCCGTCAGCTGGCAGGCTGTAAATCAGAGCCCGGGCCTGTGTGGCCGCGCTCTGCAGCCGGGAGGACGCAGTTCTGGAGGGGTGGGGAGGAATTATCTCGGCAGCAAAGGAAACCACCCCGGCGTGTGTTCCCCGCTGGCCCTTGCCGCACGCTGTTCCACTTCCCTGCAGGCACAGCTGCTGTGGGAAGGATTTTTCCCGCAGCGGAGCGTCCCGGCTCGGGGCGGTGCCCGGGAGGGATGCGCCCCTGCCGGGCCGGGCATCCTCCGCTCCGTGCGGCTGCTGCGCTAGGAACGGAGGGTCTGCTCCGTGCCTGCTCCGTGCCTGCTCCGTGCCTGCTCCGTGCCTGCTCCGCAGCGCCGAAACCCACCCAAAGCCGCTCCATTCCGCGTGTTCGGGGCTGCAGAACGCGCGCTGCAGCTGCATTGCTGGCGCTGCTGCTCCTTACCTGGCAGATGGAGCGTGTAAGGCACACCCTGCAAGGCTCTCACATGGGGAGGCAGAGGATTTATAATATCAGTACGTGACTGACAGATAAGGGACTCCCACAGAGCAAAGACAAGAGCAGGGGAACCACAAAGCTCTGAGCTTGGACCTGAATCAAGGAATTCACAGCCCCTCTCGTTCAGGCAGGTTATAGCAGAAAATTTGCCAAATCAACCAAATGCCATAAAAACTTTCTTGAGGCAGGGTCGGGGCAGAGATGGGTTTATAGAAAACACCCACCAATAGCCCCGTGTCCCACCCTGGTATTTATGAGATGCACGTGGAGGGTGTTGATAGCAGAGGCATTTTTGGAAGTCAGTGAAACAGAAAAAGAGATTCCTCTTGGTGGGGAGGGGTGGTGACTTTGAACGCGTTGAGGGCAATGAAGGAGATCATTCCATTGTTCTAAGATTTCCATAACTCACTGTGCTTAAGCGCATAAAAATGTAGACATTCTGGCAATAAAGTTTGGGTAATTTTTGAGTACGAATCAAAAATCTCTCCCTCGTGCTCCCCTCCCCCTTGTTCTGCCTTTTGTTGTTGCTGCAGGCGCTGCCCCCCCGCTCGCCCGCTCCACCCCATGGCCTCACGAATGGAAAAATGTCTTCAGCAGAATCCTCCCAGCTCCTCTCTCTCTAATCTGCAGCATCTGTGCCCAGCCCCGACGCCCTTCCCCGGCTCACGCTCACGAGCACGTGCAGGTCCAGCTTTTCCTGCTCGGCAGGTGGAGGTGGCACTGCCCCAGCAGCCTGGCCACCCTGCGGTGGGGTCACCTGCCACCCCCGTGCCCGGGGTCCCTGCCTGGGCAGGGGACAGGTCCTCAGGCACAACTGCTGCAGGGCACCCCCTCAGCAGAGCCCCGGCCCGGCAGGTGCCTGCCTGCTCTCTGCTGTCCTTTGCAGGCCAGGGGGCAGGTTTGGGTGATTTTTATTTCTTTTTGCCTTGCCCTGTGTTTTCAGCCTGCTCCAGGGATGAAAAGTTCAGAGCCTGCAGCCGTGCTGGCGGAGCTGTGGTGGCACAGAGTGGGAATTCCACCCTGCCCCGGGTCTGAGTGCTCTCACTCCTACCTGAGGGCTCCCAGCACTGCACCTCTGGGCTTGTTCCTTTTTGTCTTTCCCCTTTTCTTCTCTCTCTCTCTCTTTTTTTTTTTTTTTTTTTTTTTTTTTTTTTTTCAGTGAACAACTTTATTTCCCACTTTGACATTTTCCAGACCCACCTGGGAGCCTGCTTGCCAGAAGGAGAAATGGCACAAGAGGAAATACATCTTCACAGCCTGGAGAGAGGAGAAGGTTGGAATCCGAGTCCATAAACAGCGTTGCTGTGCAGTGAGCAAAGACAGAGCAGGTTGGGCTCTGGAGAGTGTAACCCCACCTCTGCTGCTCCACTGCCAATTAAAAATAAAGAAGTGGAACTTGTTTGTTTTCCCCTCTCAGACTGGGGATGCCGTGCGAGGAAAACCCCTTTCAGAATGGGGAGCTTTTGTCTTGGGGCCTCCTGGGACACACAGTGGCTCTGACCTGGCCTGGCTCCCTGGGACCTGCCAAGAGCCACTGTGGAAAACTCCCATTTCTGCCCCAAACCATCAGCCCAACTCCTTCCAGTGCACGACCCCCCTGTCCTTGTCCCCAGCTGTGAGCTGTGTTCTCCTCCTGCCACTGCCCTGCCCCTGCTGCCTGCTGCCAGGGAGGCTCAGCTTCAGCCAGGCAGCGCTGCAGAGGGTTTAACTTTGATTTAAACAGGTTTTCTCTGGCTTTGCAGAAGGCAGGTTACCGAGGGATGGCAGTGAGCTGCTTCCTTCAGTGCATTTTTTCTGAGCATTGTCACAGTGTCCATGCTGACAACTCAGAAAATGTGGAAAAGTCAATCTGACAGACTGGTGCTTTATTTTATAATGCTCAGTTGTTGATTACAGCTCCTTCCCAGTGCTGCTAACGCTGACACCTGGTAACCCAGGGCTGTCCCCGAGTACAGAGCACCATTTACTCTCCCACCTTCACTCAGCAGAGCACAGAGCATTTTTCTGTTCCTGAAACGGCCAGGATCACCTGTGCATTTGTCACGGCCAGCCCTGGAGTGGTGGATATGGCCTGGGCAGGGAGGAGGAGCTGCTGGGCTCCAGAGCCCATCCCCACAGCCCTCGCCCTCCTGCCCCACCACAACTTTCAGCCCTTCACCTTTTTTTTCCGACTCACTGAGCAACAACTGTCATGTTTATACTCTTCCCCCCCAGTCCTGCTCTGCTTCAAGGATTAAGCTTTCATCCTTCATTATGAGCTTCTCCCCCAGGCAACTTTTTCCACGAAGAAAAAGGAATTTCTGGGATTTTGCTTTTAAGAGATTATGTTACTAAGCATGTGTGTGTTTGTGCCGAGGTGAGGAGCTTTCCCACACACACGGGTGATCTCACATCCCGGGGCAATGTGTGAGTGGGGTGCTGTGGGGGGACGGGTCCCTGGCGCTGCCTGTCCCTGGCAGCTCGTGCCCTTCCTCCCCTTGTGCTCCTGCATCCTCCTCTCCCATCAGAGTGGGGCACCCACCAGGGCTCCATGGCCCTGTGGTGCTCCCCTGGGGGCCAGAGTGGATCCCCCACCACACTGGGGTGTGGTCACCCCTCTGGGATGAAGGATACAGAATGGGCATCCCTGGGGATCTGGGGTCTCATCCTCACTCCCTAATTTGGGGGCCACGGCCCTGCCATTTGAGCCAGAACCACCAAATATTGGGTGCCCTGCATGAGGCTGAGCTGGGGCTTTCCCTGTCCCCAGCACCATGGGGGTGCCCCTGGGGGGCTCAGGGCTTGGCAGAGCTGGGAGACACCCCCTTTGCCTGGGGGCAAGCTGGCCTCGCCGTGCTCCTGCCTGTGCTCACACCAAAGCTCAGCTGCTCACGCCTGGAGGCTCGGCCAGCCCAGGGCTTGGCTGCACAGCGACTGCTGAACAAGGTTGTGCTTTCATTGGCAGCAGCTCTTGTTATTAAATCCTTTTCAGGAGCTCATCTAAGCCCAAAAAATTAACATAAGGGAAGCACAACAGATAATGTCAACCGACCAAAATAATCCAAGTCTGTAGTTACAGCAGGGAAGGCATAAACACAGCCTGCAGGAGTAACTGCAGCTTGTTCAGCGTCAGCATCTGGGCTGCTGCTGCTTAGCAAGCACTCCAGCCCTGCTGGGAAATAACCGAGGGAACGTCAGGTGCAGCCTCTGAAAAATCCCAGCCCCGGCCAAAGCCTCAGGCTCGCAGGGATGCTGGTGTGAGGCTGCTCCGGGGACACTCGGGGACATGGCCTGACAGGCGTGGGGGGAGCAGAGGCAGAGCCCCCCGAGAGCTGGGACATCCCCACCCCTCTTCACATCGGCCGGGACGAGCCAGGGCTTCACCCGCTGAGTCACGGCGCTGAGTCAGACCCTGCTCATCCTCTGTGCACTAAATGCTGCTTATTCGAGTGCTCGGGGGCAGCACAACGACGTGTTCCTGGGAGACGAGGAGCTTTCCCCCTGCTTCAACCGTAGCCAGTACATGCAATAATTAACAATTAAATGCATGACCAGCTTGCTGCTTTGCTGCGGGAGCAGCTGCCATGATCCTGCTGCTGGGAAGTTAAATGATTCCCAGCTTTCCCCTGCTTTTTGACAAGTTGTTTTCAACTTAGAAGTCAATAAATAAAACTAGTAGCTTCTGCTGAGCTTAAACTCAGCTGGAAAAGAAGACTGAGAAAGGGCTCTCTGTGGCACTGGAAGCCCAAGCACATGCAGCCTTCAGAGCCCCCACCAAAACACCCTGAGCAGCAGCTCTGTGTCACACATGCAGACACACTATTGTGGGTATTAAAGAGCCTAAATCTGATTAAAGCCTTTCTATCCCCACCAGTGGTCAATTCCAGAAACCAGCTCACCCAGGAGGCTGAATTCATTTCATCCCCAAAGTCTAATTAAAGCCATTAGTGTATTCCTTGTCTTTCTGATAAGATCAAAGCATTCCAAGAGCCCGGCATTACCTTATTTTCAAGACAATTACACAACATATAGCATCGATTTATTCTGCCTCCAGCTGTACACATTTATCTCTGTCTATCATCGGGTAATCGGTCCCATCAGACGCAGCCCAGTCCGGGCTCTCAGCTGACGAGTGCCTGCACTTGCCAGGCCGGGTTTCTTTGCCACCCTGGCCTCAAATTATCGCCCGAGGCAGTGCCTGGAGTCCGGAGCCCAGTGCCCGCAGCCGCGCTGGGAATTGGGGCATGTCCAGGCCGCTGCGGCGCTGTTGGGTGGCCGCGGTGGAGGAGTCGGGGTGGCCACACGGTCCCCTCCTCGGAGCTGTCCCCGCCTGTCCCCGCACAGCCCCAGCTTCCAGCGGCGAGGATCCGTGGGTGTGCGGGGCAGTGCGGGTCCGTGGGTGTGCTGGGATGTGCGGATCCATGGATGTGCGGGGCTGTGCGGATCTGTGGGTCTGTGTGGCTCTGCGGGTCCGTGTGTGTGTGGCTGTGCGGGTCCATGGATGTGCGGGGCTGTGCGGGTCCGCGGGTGTGCGGGGCTGTGCGGGTCCATGGGTCTGCGGGTCCGCGGGTGTCCTTGCCCTGGGGACCCGCCGCTGTGCCAGCTGCCCTGCCCAGCGCTGCCGGGGCTCCCGGGCACGGCCGGCTCAGCAGCGCCGGGGCCGGCGGCGGGGCAGCGGGCACGGGGTGCTCTCCCCTCCCGTAAACATCCCTCCAGCAGCTCACGGCCCCTGCAAGAGCCGAGCTGTGAATTTTCATCTCTCAGCTAATCAACTCGCCGGCTAGTCCAAACTTGTCAGGAGCTTTATCCCTGCCCTGCCAGTCTCCTCCCGGCCCACGAGTGACAGAAGACGTTCCCATCCCTTCCCGAGACACATCCAGCTGCTACAAAAACAAACATCCTCCCGCTGGTGATTCCTCCTCGTCAAACAGCCCTGACCCTGCTTCCCTGGGGAACATCTGCGCTGCGCCCGTGCCCGGCCGCCGGCACATCCCGAGCAGGGAAGGGCGATGTTCACGGCTCAGGCAGGGCCGTGTTCCTGCCTGAGCCAGGGGTTTATTAATTGCCGGTTTTCTCCCGATTCCTCTGTGACAAAAGATTAATCACCCGGCCGAGGCCGCTCTGCCCGCGAGGCTCCTGCAGACGAGAGGCAGCTGTGGGGCTCCCGTGGAGCCTCTGTCCCTCCGCGGTGCCCGGGAGGGACGGGCGACCCCCGCCCGGTGCCTTCGGGGGGCTCAGCGTGCTCTGGGCAGGCCGCGCACCGAGGGATTCCCAGGAAGCGGCTGCGGGCTGCAGGGCAGGGAGTGCGGCTGGTCCTGCTCCCTCAAGGCCAGGTTAAGTTTCTCTCTGGGTCTCTTTTGTCACCGTGCAACCTTGCATTAAACACCCTGGGTGCTGTGCCTGGGCCAAAACTTGGCTGTGGGCAGCTGTTCCTGCAGGACACCCCGGAGACCCTGCTCTTCACCCTCCAAGGGTTTATTAGGGCTTGCAGCTCTACCAGCTCTGGCACCACCTTCCCATTTCTGGGACGGGCGACCCCCGCCCGGTGCCTTCGGGGGGCTCAGCGTGCTCTGGGCAGGCCGCGCACCGAGGGATTCCCAGGAAGGAGCCGCGGGCTGCAGGGCAGGGAGTGCGGCTGGTCCTGCTCCCTCAAGGCCAGGTTAAGTTTCTCTCTGGGTCTCTTTTGTCACCGTGCAACCTTGCATTAAACACCCTGGGCGCTGTGCCTGGGCCAAAACTTGGCTGTGGGCAGCTGTTCCTGCAGGACACCCCGGAGACCCTGCTCTTCACCCTCCAAGGGTTTATTAGGGTTTGCAGCTCTACCAGCTCTGGCACCACCTTCCCATTCCTGGCGCCTGGCTGTAGGGGCTGGCAGCAGCAGAGCCACGCCGGGATGGGAGGCAAGCGAGGAGCACTGGGCACTGCTGGGCAGCACAGGGGCTCCAGAGGGGTCTCTGCCCGTGGCATGTGGGCACCGGGCGAGTTTGTGCCCAGGCCAGGAAACACACGCCAGGAGGATGTACAAACTGGAAGCAGAGAGCTGCTGCCGAAGCACGTGTTGTTTCAACCTCCAGATCTAGCTCTGTGCGTGCTTCTTTCACTCTCTTCATCCCGAAAGGGACGAGGGCCCTGAAGGGATTTCCCAGGTCCTTGAACCCGCTCTGGAGGGCCGGGGTGGCTCTCCCGGGCCGCGGGGCCGTGGGGTGAGCGCCCCGGGGTTATCAGGGAGCGGAATGAGCGGGGCAGGGAAGTGGGGTGGGCAGAGCTCAGCTTCTTGGCATGTTTGCCTGTGCTAAACCTGCAGCACGAAAACTTTTCACAGCAACACTCAGCGCCTGAAGCCTTCCCTGGCCGCGTGCAGCCGGCGGAGGGCAGAGCCGGGCTGCGCTCTGCAAACAAACCGTGTGCAGGCACCTGAGCTTGTGCTCAGGCTGAGTGCACGCCAAGGCAAAAGGGCTTTTCCCGACAGAAATGCAGCTCGCAGCTTTTGGGGGCAACCACGCTTCCCGGGGTGTTCCCGGTGATGGGATGCTCGGTGATGGGGATGCCCGGTGATGGGGATGCCCGGTGATGGGATGCCCGGTGATGGGGATGCCCGGTGATGGGATGCCCTGCGACGGGGGTCTCCTGCAACAGGGATGTGCTGTGCCGGATCTGCCCTTCGGTGGGGCTGTCGGCGATGGGGGGGCCGGTGGGGGCTGCCGGCGATGCGGGATTCCAGCGGCCGAGCCCCATTTCCCGTCCCGGCTGCGGTGCTGCCGCTGCCCAGAGCTGTCTCTCACGGAGCGACCCCGGCCGGTTCCCCTTCCCGTTCCCTTTCCCGTTCCCACTCCCGTTCCCACTCCCGTTCCCCTTCCCGTTCCCGGGCGCCGGTCGCCCTCCAGCGGCCCCGCTGCGCCGCGCACGGGTCGAACCCTTCCCGGGCTGCAGTGGGCTCCCTGCTCTGTCCTGAGCATCCCTGCTGTGTCCTGAGCATCCCTGCTGTGTCCTGAGCATCCCTGCCGGGTCCTGAGCATCCCTGCCGGGTCCTGAGCACCCTGCCCTGTCCTGAGCATCCCTGCCCGGTCCTGAGCATCCCTGCCCGGTCTCTGAGCATCCCTGCCGGGTCCTGAGCACCCTGCCCTGTCCTGAGCATCCCTGCTGTGTCCTGAGCATCCCTGCCCTGTCCTGAGGATCCCTGCCTGGTCCTGAGCATCCCTGCCCGGTCTCTGAACATCCCTGCCCGGTCCTGAGCATCCCTGCTGTGTCCTGAGCATCCCTGCTGTGTCCTGAGCATCCCTGCCCTGTCCCTGAGCATCCCTGCCCTGTCCTGAGCATCCCTGCCTGGTCCCTGAGCATCCCTGCCCGGTCCCTGAACATCCCTGCCCTGTCCTGAGCATCCCTGCCCGGTCCTGAACATCCCTGCCCGGTCCTGAACATCCCTGCCCGGTCCTGAGCATCTCTGCACTGTCCTGAGCATCCCTGCCCGGTCCCTGAGCATCCCTGTTCTGTCCTGAGCATCCCTGCTCTGTCCTGAACATCCCTGCCCGGTCCTGAGCATCCCTGCCTGGTCCCGGGCTCCTCTGCCGGCCCCTGAGCTCCTCGTCCTTCTCCCAGGCTGTCCCGAGCCCTCCTGCCCGGCCCGGGAGCGCTGCAGGCGGGGTGGGGATCGGGGCTGGCTCGGGACAACGCTTCCCAGCCACAGCCACAACCCAGCAGGGCCCGCAGCCCATGTGCAGAGGGTGGCACACCCCCAGACCCCCTGTTTTCCCCACACAAACCCCTGGGCTCCCTCCTTGCCCTGCATAGACCCTTGGACCCCTCTCCGTACCCCCAGGACCCGCGGGTCCCCTCCTCGCCCCGCACACGGGGAAGCCGGGCTGGCATGGATGCTTTTAGGGCTGAGGGAATGCCCCGTGCCCAAGGGGCCGGCAGCAGGACGAGGAGCAGGACCGGAACGGGGCTGCAGCCTCAGCGCAGCCGGGCCGGGGAGCTCCCCCAAGGGTCTGGCAGCACTCCCCGCTTGGGCAGGGACCTGCCACCGCTGCTGCTGCGAAAGCCACCGGGGCTGTGGCTGAGCCACACCAGCTCCCGCTCCTGTCCGGGCAGGGCTCTCGCCTCCGGCTGTCCCTGCAGGAAGCAGCACCAGTTTGGTGGCTTTCGGCTGGTACCGGCACTGGCACGACCTCGGGATTCATCCAGCCTGGAGAGGCGAACAAAGAGCTTCTTCCCAGGCTGCTGCAAAACCTGCCCAGCTGAGCAGGTAAACAGGCAAAGATAAAAAACGAGGTCGCTGTCGGGTACAGCAGGGAGCTGTAAAGGGCAGGAGGAGCCCGGAGCGGCCGCAGCTCTCCGGGGCAGGGGGTGACAGCTGCATGCACCCCAGAGAAAGCAGCTTTTCCTGCAGCCAGGCTCTGCTCCCTGCTCCGCCCTGTGACTCCCCGGCGGCAGAGGGAGCGCCCGTGAGGCTGCACCCGTCTGAACGCAGCAGGGCACGGGGGCATCCCCCTCCCCAAGCCCCAAGAGTTCATTAATATAAAGTGTCATCCATTCAGAACCGGGACACTGTGACAAAGAGGTGCTCTAGGGAAACTGGTTTTACCTAAAAGCACCTGAAAGGCAGAGCTGTCTGGAGCGTTCAGTGCTGTGGCACCTGAAGCACAACTGCCCCAGGGCACCTCCCAAATTCCAGCGCTGCCAGCTGCAGGCGGGTGGGGATGGAGGAGCAGCCAGGACTGCTCGGGACCCACTGCACTCCCAAGAAATTCCCTTTCTTCTGACATTTCAGAGCTTCCATTAAAGCTCCAGGTTCCAGTGGGCACAGATGCCCAGTTAGCACCAGCAGGTTTCCTGCTGGGCAGCCCCAACTGCAAACATTTCCTTAAGCAATTTGCACATCTTAAAAATAAAATCCTTTATTGATAATATGAATGTTTAACATGTTTAATGCCATCAGCTATAAAAATGATTAAAGACTTCAGCTTGGTACATTTGGCTTTACAAATTTACAAGTGTTAATGAATTAATACTAGTGTTATATGTTTTGCACTTCATTATACTCCATTAGCCAGTGACAAACTCTGCAACAATGTCTGCTTAGGACACATGTGAGTTAGAGGAGAAATATTTAGTTGCTTTCACACAGAATCTACATCAACAGTTAAATACTAACTCTAAATGTCTTACTGAATTAGTTGGATCCATTTTAATCCCTTGTGCTTAGTTTCTTTCAGAAGTTAGTCTACTAGCAAAAATACATTCTTTTGCATACCCCTTCCCATATTATATTTTAGAAGAAACAGTACTCAGTGCATTTCCTATTAGACTTCATCATAGTATCTCTCTCTCTAGAGCTATCAATAAAGAAAGGGGATAATACCAGTCAGATTAATGTAAAAGTAAAGAAACTCATTAAAGCAGTGTATACAAAAGCCTCACTTTTCAATCAGAAGGGATACATGGGCCAAAATTCATCTGCCCATCCATTTTTACTTTTACTCTTAGCAAGAGCAAAAAAAAATCCGCTGTGGACACTTAGTTAAAAAAGTAATAAATGTGCTTCCAAAAGAGTGGGTGCCCATGTGGCTCTGGCTGCCCCCAGGTCCCTGCTGTTAACACACAGACTGTTCCACGGGATCAGGAACAACACCACTAGCTGGAAGGGCTCTGAAGGGTCTGTGCAAAGCTCTGCACCCCGGCAGGGCTGTGTGGGGCCACTGCAGCAACAGCCACTCCGAGCAGCACAGAGCCCCACGCTCTGCGGGATGGGAGCCCACAGGATCCTCTGCAGCAAGGCCAGCTCCCAAATTCAGCATCAGCTCACATCCAACACCCGAGATCCTTAACTCGGGGCCATGCTCGATGGGAGCCCACAGGATCCTCTGCAGCAAGGCCAGCTCCCAAATTCAGCATCAGCTCACATCCAGCACCCGAGATCCTTAACTCGGGGCCGTGCTCCCAGCCTCTGCCACTGATCCCTGGTGTTTGTCCTGCACTTCTCAGCACAATGACAGAAAACCACTGTGCTCGGCCTGTTGGTGCTCTTGCAGCAAACATTTCTGCACAGGAACCAGCTGCTCCTCCTGGGTCCAAACACTGCCTCACACACATGGTCTGCCTCAACCTTAGGCAATTCCTCACTGGGGAATTCTTTTAAATCTCAGTGAATTGCCAGGTTTTCTTCACATGAGGCAGATCAAGAAGAGATAAGTACCTCCCTAATACATTGTGTGTTTAGTGTGTATGAGTGTGATACACTTACACATATCCACATACTCAATTCCACAGCAGCAATGATTTGGTTCCATATTTGCAGCCAAGGAAAGCTAGCCACAGCTCGTGGGCAAAATCCAGGTCAGTCAGATTTAACTGACACAGATGAGGAACAAAATTATTGCTTTTGTTCAAAGTCGAAGATCCCGTGTTACAGGCGTTGCAAAAAACCTGTACTGGATGGATGAGTTACTTTTTCAAGTAATAGTGAGATCTTTGTCAAGTAACAGAAATATCCTTTTCTCAGAAGTTCTACACACAACAGTAGAATGCTTGAAGAGCTTGAAAATTCCAGGTGATACACCAGAAACCAGAGTTCAGCCATTTAAAGCACACAGGCATCTTGGCAGGAAAGCAGAAAGAACTGTATGGACAAGGAATACTGACACAGAAGTAATCTGGATGATATCACAACTAAAATTTATCCCAAGAAACTCCTGTGTGCTTCCTCAAATAGCTGGGAGCTATGACCTGAAGGACGTAGCCTGGCTGGCTGCACCAGTCTGGTGGTCACCTGGCAGAATTTGTAGCACATTTGCTAACTTATCTTAGCAAATGGAAAGAATTAAAAGGAAAACCAGTGTTGGTTTCAACATTCAGGACTCAGAAGAATTTGTTTCTGCAGCTAGATGTTCCCCTCCTCACCTTTTCCCGAGAATCACATTCATATTGCAGGCTTAGTTCAGGCACTTTTATAAAATGTTCATCTGGAATAAAAAGTCTGCAAAAATTATTTCTGCATAATTTAAAAGTAGCATTTCAGTCCCATTAGAGGTTGATAGGTCCCACCACATGATTATGGCTGTTATCTCTAATGATCTGACTGCTGCCATGAGACATTTGGAGGCTACTGTATAGCTGTAGTTAAGGTTTCTTCATAAACAAAAATATTTTCCTACCTATTAAAAAGAAAAAAAAAATATACTAAATGCTTTATACAGACAGAATCTGCTACTATGGAAATAAATAACACGGAGTGGAAAAACAGTGTCTTAGCTCCAGGGTAAGCTAAGCTGCGGAATGTCACATTCCCATTTTCTGGAGACTAGCTGCTGCTTGGCAGGAGGATCTCCAGGTCTTTGCCATTTGACACGACAGAGTTGCTGGAGCAGCTAGTGGCCACGTCCAGGGGGGCACCCAGGGAGGAGGCCTGGCACGAGGCTTTGCTCAGGGGAGCAGCAGCAGCAGGCGACTGGGCGAGGCCGGGTTTCTTGGGAGGAATGGGCGGAGGGTTCCCTCTCTCTGCCCTGGGAATGGTGGGTGACTTGATTCCAGGAGACAAGGGGCTCAGCGGGCTGGACACCTTGACAGGGCTCGGGCAGTGCCCAGCCTCGGTTTTGGGGCCGGCGGCGCTGGCCAGGTTCCGATAGTCCGTGCCAAAAGGGGAGCTGTTAGGGGAGACGGGCTTGATGGGGCCCTGCTGGCTGGTGAACCTGGACAGCACCTGCGTGACCGTGTTGCGGGCCAGCTGCTTGGCAGCGGAGTTGTCAGCCAGGGTGGGGGACAGATCCCGGGAGGGGGGGCTCTGCAGCCCGCCCGGCTGCTGCTCCTGCTCCGCCTGCGACTGGAACTTGTGCCTGGCCGCGTGGAAACGCTGGTTGATGCCCACCTGGTAGGAGGACTGGTAGCCAGGGCTGCTGGCGGAGGCTCCCCCCAAGCGTTTAGTCAGCACTGGTGAGGAGCAGGGAGAAGGGGTCAGAGAGGAGGCAGCGGTGCTGCTGGGGGACGGGGATGCCCCGGCAGAGGGGGGCTGCGGCATCGCGTGCACCGGCGACTCCGTTCTTACGGGAGAGCTTCCGTTCTCCACCGCGCCTTCTGAGGCCGCGGCAGATTTCTCCCTGGGGACTTGGCCCTCTGCAGCATTTGTGTCCCCAGCCACGTGCAGGTCTGTGTCACAGTGCCCGTTGGATTTTGCATAGGAATGAACAGGCGCAGAGGGGCTGGCAAACGCGGCGTGAGGAGCCTTGCTGCCGCCGGCGGGGTTTGCCCGCTCTGCCTGCAGACCCTCGGTCTGGCAGGACACAGACTTCACTGGGGGACTGTCGGTTGTGACCCCCCGGGATGTCACCGAGGGGCTGGCGGGCACAGGCTTGGAGGGACTGTGCTCCTGGCAAGAAGCCTCCAGCTCTTTCAGGGCTTTCTTCAGACATTCCACCTCTTCTTTGAGCGCTTTTGTACGGTTTTCTTCTCTGTTCAGCTTAGCTTTCAGCTGTTCTCTTTCAATGTCAAACTCTGAGAGCTGCTTTTCTACTTGTGCTTCCATCTGCAAACCCCGCTTCCTCTTGGCTGCCAGCTCCTCTTCCAGTTTACTCACCTTGCTCTTCTCCTTTTCCAATTTCAAGCTCAGTTCTGCTGTCTTCTGGCCCTCTTCAGCTGCTTTGGCAGTGGCTTTCTTGCACTCCACAACGAGCATGGAAGACAGTTGCTTGTGGCGTGCCCGTTCCTCCTCCAACTGGCTCGACAGCTTCTTCTGCTCTTTCTCAAACTTTTTCACTTGGGACTTTTCAAACTCCACCTGGAAGTTAAGAACAAAAGAGATTTAAGGGTACCATAAAACCTCCTGAAAGCAAATGAAGGGCAACACCCCAAAAGGGAACAGGTTTACTGTGTATCTTGGAGAAATTACACAGTAAAAAATGACAATGGCTAAGAAAGAGCTTATTGCACCAGAAATCAGCAAAATAGTCTGGAACATAGTCAGCCTGCACATAGTAACAATTATTACTTACTAGTAGTTTTATCCTGTGTGAAATTCAATTGGCCTTTAGTGACATACACAGCCAGTCTGCCATGCACTGACAGAACAAGCAAAGCTTCCTTCCACCTCATTTACCACTTTGTCAGTTTGCCTTTTAAAGGCATTTAGGCTTTAAAATGCTGATGTGTTATGTATGCTTAACAAAGGCTACAGCGCTTCAGTAACAGAAAACAGTGGCTTAAATATTTATTAGCATCTCTGAACAACACCCCCAGGAGATCTCCCATGACTTATTCTGAATTTTGAGAACCGCAGCGAGCTATCAATTGCAAATGCAATCCTGTTCTTCCCAACTCCTCGGATTTCAGGCTGAAGTAAGATTTCAAAGCACCCGATTGCCTATTAACACCTTTCAGCACTGCTCAGCTACCAAAACACACTGAGCCACGCAAGGTTGTTTTTCATATCAAGAAGATAAAAGCTGGGAGTGCCTTGCAGAGGGAGGCTCCTGCTGCTCCCCAGCACAGCCCTGCCCAGCTGCCCGGGCTCCTGGGGCTGTACCTGCTGGGTGAGGCGCTCCCGCTCCTTCTCCAGCATGTAGGTGACATCGTCCCCCTCGGCCGTGTCCTGGGCGTGCCGCTGCCTCTCCTCCTCCAGGTCCAGGATCACCTGCCAACGACAGCAGCCAGGCACGGATCAGGGCCTGGGCACAGCCCCGGAGTGACACGGCAGCTCCACAGAGCCCAGCTCAACTCCAGGCACAGAAAAGCAGCTCCTGCACGAGCCCAATACGTGCAATGATCTGGTCACGTTGTGAAAGGCGTCAGGGAAACCTGACACTGGATCTGTTTTACCATGAAATATCTACATGGCACACTTTTCCCCCGGGCTGTGCAATACCCTTGGGAGGAATGGTGTCCTCAGTGCAGACGGCCGGGGCTGGGAGGGGTCTCTGGAGACCACCCAGCCCACCCCCTGCCAAGCCTTGCCCTGCAGGGCTGCGCAGATCAGCCCAGGAGGGTTCTGAATATTGGCAGGCAAGGAGAAGCCACAACCCCTCCCAGCCTGTTCCAGTGCTCTGTCACCCTCAGAGTAAGTCAGTTTTTCCTCCTATTCAGCTGGAAGTTGCTGTATTTCAGTTTGTGCCTCTTGTCCCTTGAAAGTCAGAATTTCCTGGCAGGAGCATCAATGCAAGCCCAGCAGGAGCAGAGGTGCTGCATGCAGGAGACACAGGGCTCAACAACAGGACAGCCCCTGCTGGGGCTCCAGCAGCAATTCCCACTCAGGCTGCCCCCAGTGCCTTACAGGGATTTGAGGACTCCAGTGTAAAGTTTATTTTAAAGAACATTAATTTGTTCTTCCACTTAAGAACAAGATGAGCTCTTGAAGTGAAACTGCTTCCCAGAAGGGCCCAGTGAAGGAGCTCCTTCAGCTTTAACACTGAATTACATGAATAATTGAAATGCTATTAACAAAAAAGCCAGAATACAAACTTCCCAAGAGGCTCTGCTTATCTCATCACCAAAACTAAGCTCTCCCAACACATCCTCACCATGAATTTAGCAGCTCCTCAGTCTTCCTGAAATTGAAGCTTCCAAACAATGCTTAAACATTATCAAGTATACATCCTTGCATACTTGAAGTAGACAGGAAGAGGAAAAGGTGGAAAAATATCTGATTTTACTGCATGACTTAGTTGGATAATGGGCTGAGAAGTGAAGCCCAGCCTTGTTCTTACTTCTAGTGACATCAATTTTTGTGGTAGTATGGTCTGACGCATGACCAAGCACTTTATGGGTGTCAACACACATTAGAGGCATGTCTGAATAATAACAGGTGCTTCATTAAAGAGGCCAAATGGCACAAAGAATACTTTTGGTCACTCCATACTTCCTTAGGGAAGCACAAGGAGGTGCCTTCCCCTGGCAGCAGCTCTTCAATAACCAGGGAGAACAAGCCCCAGGCAGAACAGTGATAGCTCTGCTGAGAATTCCATCTCCCAGAAACCCTTTCGTGCATTTTGGGAAGCATCACACCTCCCAGCTGTAAGCTAGATCCTTTTTGGTGTGTCCTAACAAAAACATCTTGTGTATATTTCAGATTCTGGAATTATAACTAATCAGCTCAGCAGCTGCATCACCTGCAGTGAGAAGTTCAAACAAAGGTGCCAAGTCCTTTCAGTTACCAAGGCTCAGGGAACTTAAGTGTTTTTGCTGAAGTTAACCTGTCATTAAAATGCAGCTATAACTTCTGCACATCTCAATTGAGGCAAAACTTACCTTTCTGTGCCTGCTTTCAGCAGCAGCTAGTTGGGATAACATTCTTTCCTGCATATTCTTGCAGTGTTTCATCACCACTTTCAAAATAGATAAAGGATTGGAGCATACTGGCTGCTTTTCACCATGATTCCCCTCTTTCAGGGTCTCAAAATCTCTCTGCAAAGCCATCAGTGGATCACTGATGTTGTATTTCCCATAGCGTTCCTCAATGAATGTGTCCCTGTGCTGGGCCTGCAACACAAAAACAAATTTGCACTTTAATATGCTCAAACTAGCTAAAGAAACCAGGCTTTATAGCTAATACTCCTTTTCCCCAGTTTTCCATTCAAAGAGAATTTAACACAGTCTGATTCATATCCTGTTATCTGCTAGAAATAAAGGCAATAAAGACAAATCTTGCTTAAAAACACAGCATCTCCACAACACATCCAGTCTACAAACTTCCCCATACCACAGCTACCTGCCAGGGCCATGGCTGACATTCCACAGCTGTGTGAAAGGAAAGAAGGTAAGTCCCAACTCTTGCTCAATAAGAGATTTAATCATTTATTGTCGCATCAGTGAAAGAAGCAGTTGTGTGCTTTCCTTGACTATGTCAACATCAAAGAATTCCATGTTGAGCAATTAAAGAGTTTCATTCTGGCAAGAGCCATAAATCTGTGAATTGTTAATAAAATCTTTAATGTTCTCATCCAGACTAAACAGAGTTTAGTTTCTCAGGACAGGAATGATGAGGTTTCCTTTGGTGCTTGTGAGAATTGAGACAACTCACACACACTAGGCTCTGCATTTACAGTGCTTAGTGGCTGGACTCCATGAGCTCAGAGCTCCTTCCAACCCCAATTATTCCATGAATCAGCCATTCCATCTGCAAATCTGTTTGTTAGGATACCCATAGGCTTATCCTATTCAACAATGCTCTAAAGGTCTAGAAACAAAATGAAATCTCACAGACAGATATGAAAGTATTATCTGTGTGCTCACCACCACGATAAGAAAGCAAATATTTATGCAACAAAAGACACAGAAAAGCAGAGGCAGATTCACACAAGAGCAGGAGTCACAGAACCGTGGAACATCCCCACTCAGCAGCTGGTAGAACTACCCTGGAACAGTGAGGGTTAAATAATAAAACTTGGCTTTACTCAAAGAGCTGCTGAGATTTGCTGGTCCCACCTGAAATGCAGCCATGTGATTAACATGAAATAAACTAAAAAATTTGATTTTTGCTCTTAAAAGGAAAAGCGTTTGCATTACTTTGACAAGAGGCATAAAAAGCCCAACCCAAAATATCTTCTCCACGACCAAATTAGAGACATCCATCCTGTGAGTCCAGTTTGGAGCTGGATTTTAACCCTGCAGCAAACAAACACAGAGGAACAGCTCACACTGGCAGACACCCCTCCCTCTCTATCAGCAATATCCGTCAGGAACTGTGGGTACCTTTGATCAGAGCTTCAGATATTGTTCTGACTTTACACAATAATAAAAAGGAGAGGAAGGAAAAGATCAGCCCTGGAAATGGGAGAGCAGCCCTGGATAATGGGGCAGCCCTGGTTTAATGAATCACAGGAAAAACCACAGGTTTGGGGTTTTTTTAGGAACAGGGAATCTTCTGTTTTTCTGAAGTGTTTATAGAAGTGACTCAACGAAAGCTCCACAGGAGTGTGGAGGGAATTTCTCAGTGACTCAAGCATTAATAAGTCTGTAAATATGAGCTGGGATCTCCATCCAGCTGGCCTCGCTGCCTTGACAGAGGAGCTTAATCCCAACTCATCCCAGGCTGGCCATTCCACACAAAAACACGGGAGAGACCCCTCAGAAGGGCACCAGTGGGTAAACAAACCCTGCCTTTACTGCTGGGCAACTTCCAGCAAATAAGAGCCCCAAAACCCGAGAGGAAGGTGATTTTTGCAGACCCAAGGGTGTAACAAAAGCCATGTTTTCCTCTGCTCCCCACAGCGCTGGGCTCTGAGCTCTGCATAAACCACCCACTCTGAATTCAGTGGGGTGGTTTATTTCCTGTTTGGGAAAGAACAAGAAGTTCTTCCTTGCTACTTTGAGCAATTAAGTATTTTCCTGAGCTAGCATGACAAACAGATGAGACTATCATAACATTAAGAGCTTTCTCAAGTCCAGCTATTCTTCTTCAGTAGCCAGCAGAGCATAAACATTTAATTAAAGTTGTCTAGACTGGAGAAAGTCTTAACCAGGTCATGCTCCACCGAGCACACCACGTTTGCAAGCACAAACCCAGGGCTTTGGCGTGAGGGCCACCACGCACTCAGAAATGCAAACAGGGATTGTGCAGCCTGTGACACCTCTGGGCCACCTGAATCACTGAGGCAGCTCGTGGAAAATGAATTTACAGTGCCAAAATCTCCAGAGGTGGTGTTACACAGGTGTGGAAATGGCCCAGAGAATGACTGCTGCCACGGCTCGTGCTCCTCCTGAGGCAGCTCTGCACCTCAGCTTTCTGTCACTGGAGGCCAAATGTCTTCAACTCCTGATTTTCGGGTAAACAAACCCTGCCTTTACTGCTGGGCAACTTCCAGCAAATAAGAGCCCCAAAACCCGAGAGGAAGGTGATTTTTGCAGACCCAAGGGTGTAACAAAAGCCATGTTTTCCTCTGCTCCCCACAGCGCTGGGCTCTGAGCTCTGCATAAACCACCCACTCTGAATTCAGTGGGGTGGTTTATTTCCTGTTTGGGAAAGAACAAGAAGTTCTTCCTTGCTACTTTGAGCAATTAAGTATTTTCCTGAGCTAGCATGACAAACAGATGAGACTATCATAACATTAAGAGCTTTCTCAAGTCCAGCTATTCTTCTTCAGTAGCCAGCAGAGCATAAACATTTAAGTAAAGTTGTCTAGACTGGAGAAAGTCTTAACCAGGTCATGCTCCACCGAGCACACCACGTTTGCAAGCACAAACCCAGGGCTTTGGTGTGAGGGCCACCTTGCACTCGGAAATGCAAACAGGGATTGTGCAGCCTGTGACACCTCTGGGCCACCTGAATCACTGAGGCAGCTCGTGGAAAATGAATTTACAGTGCCAAAATCTCCAGAGGTGGTGTTACACAGGTGTGGAAATGGCCCAGAGAATGACTGCTGCCACGGCTCGTGCTCCTCCTGAGGCAGCTCTGCACCTCAGCTTCTGTCACTGGAGGCCAAATGTCTTCAACACTTCTGATTTTGTCCTGTCTGAACTGGGTTCTACCTTAAATAGCTGTCCAACTTTCGGAACAGAAGGAACCTGATGGCAGAGGAACACTCTAGTAGTGAGCCCAAAGTGAAAAAAGTCAACCTAGATCTCGGATGCCAGCACAGAAAACACAAACCCACAGAAAATCAAGGTTAAGTGAGAAGGAAATAAGGTTACCAAATGCAGTGTTAGTTAAGGAGTGGAAGATTCCACCTGAGCACCAGAGATGACATATGTACCTCCAGCATCAGCAGTTGTGCTTTGAAAGCAGATGCAATTCTGTGCAATTACATCTGATTCAGTACCCCCACCTCTAGCACCTCAAACATGCAGAATGTCAGTTTCCCACCAAAATACTCATATTCCAGAAACAACTATATGGATCAGCAATTTTCAAGACTATCAAACTGACCTCTCCCAACAGGAAAAGAAGATAACATATAAGCTTGGGGTGCTTTAAAAAAAAAAAAAAAGAAGGAACTATACATGTAAACTACCCCTAAAAATAAACTTCCAGTGAACTGCAAAAGTAAGGCAAAAGAGGGGGTTCCACGTGAAACTGGCTGCCTTTGAGCTCCAGTTTGGGTCATGGACCACTGCTAGTCTGTCTGGGAACAGATAATTCTGGTTTTATGGGGCAGAAGCAACATCTGACCCAACTGAAAAGATGTTTCCTGTGCAGGCAGGCTTTGCTTTGTTAGGAAAAAGCTACTGCTTCCTCTTGGGATTTCTAGGCTGTTTTGGGATGAATGTTTCCCATAAGCTACTTCTGTATTTTTTTAAATAAAATATTTCTTTCTACTGAAACCTTGTTTATGTGACAATATTCTCTCTCTCTTCAGTAACCTTTACAACTTGTTTTACTGGAACATCAAACAGGGAATTTCCAGGACCTATTTCAAGTGTTTTTTGGACATCAAGTAGAGCATTTCTCCTCCCTGCAATTTCAGAGTTCAGGTTTTAACCCTTGCTACAAAACAAACACACTCTTAATTAACTCTAGCTACTGAGTTTGCAGTTCTCCATAATGTGATAATTTGCACAGAAGTTCCTCCTTCGTGTAGCAGAGAGTGGAATAAGCTTTAAATAGCTCCTTGCTGCCTTGAACTTCCTTATTAGCTTCTCTCCCCAGAGACAGAAGTTGGGAATAAAGACAGGCTGAGGTCACAGCAAGCACGGGGAGAGAAGGGAAATGGGGGTGGGGACCTCAGCCTTTGCCCAAAAATAAATGTCAAAATGCTGGAGTGGGATTTGCAGCGCTGCACCAGCCCCAGCCCTGCAGCAGTGCCAGGCACAGAGCCACCCAGCAAATCGCTCAAATGCAGCATTTAAAGCCCCAACTGCCACCACTACAGCGAGGGAGCAGACCTGATGAACGAGAGCTACCCACCCCTGCCCATGCCAGAGCTGCTCCCAGCTTTTTGAAACAGAAGATTTCTCAGGAAACGCCGAGCGGCACAAAACTGCAGCTCCCTTTGCTCCCACAGCACAGCACCCATGGGAGCACTGCTCCATGGAAGCTGCTCTCTGAGTGATGCAGGAGCCCAGTCTGCTCCATCTGTGAAAGATTTAACAGCAGCAAGGGTTTGTGCTACTCAACTTTTCTTTTTATTTAAACAAAAGGTAGAGTTGGGTTTTTGAAACTGCACTGTAAAGCTAATTTCTAAGTCCACAACAAACAGCACCTAGTTTTTCATTAATATTGCTCTACAGTGAATCACTGCCCTCAGAAGCAGAGGTGAATAGCAGCTCCCAGTCATTAACACAAAATAGCTTCTATTCCAGCCTAAACTGCCTGAGGCCTCATTAACATAAAGGAATAAGCCAGAAAGCTGTTTCCTGTTTTCTAAAAGCAAACAGAGCTTCAGCTCTAATGTATGGAAAACAGGGGGGAGGGAACAAAGTGCTCAACACAGCGATAGAGATCCATTTAAATATTGAATTGTTTCCAGTCGTGGTGTGCTATTTCAGAAGGCAAACCTGTGGCTCATGCACCCCTTCCTACACTGCAATAAGGACCGAGAGTCTAACTCAGGATTATGCAACTCTCTGACAGCATCTGGGTTTTTTGGATGATATAAACACAATTATAACTACAGGAAAAGGAGCACAATAAGAAGTCAGGCTTAAAATCTGTTCCAAGGAGAACATTGAAATTTATGTAGTGGACAGGAAGCCACTTTCAGGAAAAAAAAAAAAAAAAAAAAAAAAAAAAAAAGGGTTTGGTTTTTTTTTTTTTTTTTTTTTCCAAAAGGTTTTTAAAAAAAGAACCCAACTCATTCCACTGAGCCGGAAGAATAACTCCAAGTTCCCAGGCTGCTGCTTCTAGAAAGCTTGAGCTAACTGGGAAAAAATTAAAGTATTAGAAGGGAATAGGTAAGAATATGTTATTTATTTTTAAATTAACGACCTACTACTCACCTTCTTTACACCGACGCATATTAGAAAAAAAAAAAAAAAAAAAAAAAAGAAAAAAAAGTGTTGGTTTTTTTTTTTTTTTTTCTTTCCAAAGAGGTTTTAAAACAGAGGAAGCAAACTGAAGCACTGGGAAAGAATATTTTGAATACAGTCAGTTTGTCAGACAGCAAGGAAGAAAGGGCCAGGGTCTGGGGAGAGGGGGTGAAGAGAGGAGAAGAAAGGAGTGAGTTGAACAAGCAGTGTCTGCAACACCAGGCTCAGCAGCTCGATGCTGACACACAGAGAAACAGGGCCAGTGCCAGCCAACAAGTGCCTGGCACCACGAGGGAGAGGAAAACTATTTTAAGCTTTGTCATCTGCACGCATGGATTCTCTCTGCTAAATGCCAGATGCAAAATGTTTGTCTCTAAGCGTGCAGGAATATCGATTATTGCAGACTGGACTGCAATCAGATGACATGCTTACAAATGAAGGCACTCTTCCTCTGCAGTGCCTGTCCTTTTCTGCAAAGTACCAAAGGACTTGACTCAAACAACCAGGGCTCAGAATAATTGAAATCTGAAGCAGAAGTAAAATTAGCCCGTGAAGGGAAATGTGTTTTTGTTACTATGAGGGAAGCAAACAGGCAGACAAAATTCTGATTTCCAACCACTGACATCTACGTGTTCAACACAACTGCTGGAGAAAATCACTGCTGTGGTTTAGGGTTATGCAACCCCCTAAGAAAGTTCAGAGGCTTGAACTCCACCTGCTGCCAACATATACCCACATTTAACATAAAACTATTACTCCTGAAGGAAATGCACACAGCACCTGGGGAACTGAGAGAGCTGAGGCCACAGACAGCTCCTCTGCGTGTGGAACAGCCAGCTCCTCTCCTGGAAACTACAACTCAATTTGTCCCATTTATACAAGCCAAACCAAATGCTCTCAAGAGTGCAAATCTTTAACTCGGCCTTAGAAGTTCAGGGCAGCACTTTTATGCATCAAAACGTGAGTAAACAGATTAGCAAGGTTTCCTTTAATTAGTCACACACAAAGTCTTTTGGCCAGCGAGGCACGTAAAGCTGTTACCACAGTTACTATCAGCAAACAGTGAGAAAAACAGTGCAAGGCCAGTATTTCTCTAGCTGTATATTCCAAATAAATGGACAAAGCTGGAAGGGCTCTGCTGCTGAGCCTTTGCCCAGGCAGCAGATGAAGCATGACAGGACTTTTCCTTCCAGGCATGGAGAGGGCAGCAGAGCTGCTGGCAGCAGGGAGCCAGCATCACTGGGGACAAGCCCAGGAGCCACAGAGCAGCACAGCTGGAGCCCTGCAACATCCCACAGGGCACATCCCAGGGTGGCAGCTCTCCCCTGAGATCATCCCAGGAGGCAGCAAGAGCCAGCTGGGATTTGAAGCTTTCCTTGCCCTTTCCCACCAGCTCCAGCTGTCCTCGCAGTCCTGAGATGAAATACTGCAGCACATCCCTGACAGAGGAAGGGAAAATAGCCCTAACCTTTGATTAGAGCACTATTTTATACTCCATAATTATCAAGCACAGGTTACAAATTCATTTAATTTCTTCTCAGTTATGAGTACTTGACAAATTATGTTAAAGGGTATTCTTACTGATTAATCTCCTCACACAAGAGGGAACTGCAGGTTAAACTTCAACAGCAAAGATAATTGCTTTACACTACTGGAAGGCAGGCAATAAAAAGCCCTTCTGGAATGGAGCTGCTACATTTCTTCCCGTCGGTCTCTCTGTGCTCCACTGTACACATTTCACACTGAAATTCTGAAGGGAGGCTTGTTTTGGTAACACATTCTGACCACACACAGAGAAAAAATGGCTCTCAGGACAGAGCAGAAACCTGCAAGTGTGTATCAAAACAGAAAACAAACCTTCCACCTGACCAGTAGTTTTGAGAGGATAACAATATTCCTCCAAAATAAAAGGATTATCTAAATGCAAAAGCAATTAACAACAAACATAAGTACCCCAACTGTTCTGGAGGAGGATATGCCTCCACTCCCCTAAAAGATGTTTGGAATCAAGCTGGAGAAGCTTTTGCTGGAAAAGCAAGTCACTGCATAGCTGCAAGTTTTATACCTTATGAGCAGTGACAGGTCAGCTTGAAAAAGCCTTCAAGATTCAACCCTGACACAACTAATTCCTTCCAAAATTGACCCCTGCCATCATTCACAGCACTGTGTTTTTTCACTTGGCTGAGGCTGAGCGCCAAGCAGGCATCCTGCAAAGAGCAGCAGAACTGCACATGGACAATGGATTTCCCAAAATAATTTCCAGGCTCAACATCAACACAGCAAAGTGTGCAGAGACCCAGAGTCCCTGATGCAGGCCAGCATCACACCACGCCAGCCAGGAGAGGCTCCAGCCCTGCCCTGCCCCACCAGCACCACGACCTCAGCTGCACTGATGCTGAAAGTGGCTTTTTGGAGCAGTTTTAGCTGGCATCTGCCTCACTGGAAGGTTGCACTAGTGCTCGTGCCAGCAAAGGGAAGGAATCAGCAGCTGAGCACTCAGGGCTGCTGCTCTCAGCAGTGCCAGCTTATGGTGGCTTAGTCAACACAAAGCCAGGGGTGCTTTTTGCTTACTGTGACGTTATTGTCACTAAAAGACTAATCTGTGATCCCTCTTGGAGAGAGGAGTGCCTGCTTTAAGCAGCCCTCCTTGCTGAAGGATCAAAAAACTAGAAAGGAATTCTGGTAGACCTTTTACACAACACATGGTTCTTTATCAGAAAGGATGAAAACACACATGTAACACTGTACTTCAACAGCAAAATGCTTCTTGCAGCCAGCTTCCAAGCCAAAGTTATCTACAGCATTTACTATGCAGTCCTGCTGATATTAAATGGGATTCTGAACCAGAAATGAACTTCACCTTGGACACAAGCTCTCTGCAGAACTCACAGTAGTGCTGTTGCCATGTTTGTTTCTTATCCTGATACTTAAAACCTACCTTTAAAGCCTCTATGACAAGATCTCTTGCTTCTAATTCTCCCTCAAGAATGCTAAACAGCGTCAGTAGTTCTGGTTTGCTGAGTTTTTCCAGATTCATCCTGAAAACCTGAAAAATAATGAAACCTAGTTTAGTAGGCATTTCTTTGGACATTAAGATCAGTATTCGAAGCTGTGACATACAACCTCCAGCCCAGCTTCCAGCCTTTTGGATTGCAAATTGCCCTGAGGGGGGATAATTTTCTCTCCAGCTTCCACCACCAGTTGCAGAAGATGCATTTGTCACCTCCTCCCAAGGGACAGGAACATCTGCACACCCAGATGGCGATGGCAGAATGTGTGGGCTAACAGGACAGCACAACACTCACCAAGCAGCAGCCAGAGTTGACAGGAGAGGGGAAAACCAGGGATATTGAAAAGTCATACTGATGACACATCTGCCTCACACAGCTGCAAGCATCACTGAGGAGCTGTGATGAATGAAGGCCAAAGTGGGCCACCCACAGGGGCTCGGCAGTGATGGGAACTGCTTCCTGGGAATGCCATTATCCACACTGATGGAGCAGGCCCAAACCCCTTCACAAAAATCAATGCCACGGAAAATACACACTTAATTACTATTCTTTCAAACCGTTTCAATATCAGCATCATTTATTAAATATAATTTTGCTGCCTACGTAAGAGATCCATCATCTGAACTGCACATAGAGAGGCTTCATATTCCCTTGCATCTTTGCTGATGCACTTAATGCTGTCCCATAATAAGCCTTTTTGTCACATTATGTTGTTAAAAGTGGAAATAATTCCAGACTAAACCCTTGTCTCTGATGAAAATATACCCATTGATACAGCCTTGTGCTTTGCACAACCATCAAATACACTTTTCTGAGTCCAAGTCATGTCCATCTTTCACCACACTTCATGTCAAGCAGAAAATACTACAGCATGAAGAAGCTACTCAGAAATACCAAACTCCAGTGGCAAGTGATAAAGGGTTAAATTAGCCCCTACTGGAGAAGTGTATGCAGCTAAAACATTCAGCTGAAGTCTAGCTTGTCTGAAGCCACTGCTCCTTTACAACTGATTTGCATAACTGTGCCTTGGAGAGTTATACACAAAAGCAAGTTCTGTCTTGTTTGTGCCAGAGCAGTTTTCCAGTGGCTGGGAACAGAAAGTTCTGCTGTCTTCATGCAGCAAGAGAAATCAGAAATCTACTCTGTGCCCCTCTGCTAAGCAGGGAAGTGTCTCAACACACTGACATCCCTGCCTCACGGTGTTTTACATGAAATTCCATAAAGCAGCAATGTTTCTTACAGGCTCTGCTGGCTCACCCTCCTGCTGGCATGGGCTGCTCAAGGCAACGCCAGTGGAAGTGACCATGAGTTCCAAAACCAAAACTGAACTGGACACCACAGATCTGAGCATTGCTTTTCTGCTCCCTGCTGCAGATCCATTCCCAGACTCAAGAGGAAAACCCACAAGTGGAACGTTTGGGAAATCTGCTCCTATCTGTCACCATGTCGAAAAGCCCTGATCAAAACTTGACACAAAGGCACAATTTAGGAAACTCACTGTATTGACTAAAATCCCATTTCTGTGGGCCAGGGCAGTGCTGGTGACTCTTCAGCACTGATCCCTTCTGGCCAGCCCATGGACCTTGACACAGAGATGTCCAGGTGGGAGCCTGAGCATCCCCTCAGCTCTGGACACGGCCGGAGGGCTCTGCTGCCATGGGGAGCCTGACTAGCTGAGACCACATGGAAGGAGTGTGATTTACAGCTTGGTCACCTTAGGAAAATGGAAGAGAGGGCAACAGAAGCAGCAAAGAAATGCTGAAAGATCAAGAAGTAGCCAGACAGAGTGAGAAAAGACACAGCCTGGCTCTAGTCTTTGATATTTACCACGTTTGTGTGGGTGCTGATGTCAAAGCTGCAGCATTTCCCTGGGCAGCCTTTAGATGTGAAATATCCAAACATCTGCTTAGGAGATGCATGGCTGGATTTCAAAACCATCTCAGTCCTTGCCCAGACTAAACTCACAGGTTCTAAGACTGAGCCAATACCAGTGGGAAATGCCTTTTATTGCCAGACACTCACCACGTTACAGCAGCACTGGGCATTATAAACCTGAACCAAAAAGGAGAAGCTTCCTCAGAGATCTTAGAGCAAAATGTATCCTATATTTCTGTCACCCCAGGACAGTAAGTGTTGAACATGGACTTTCAACATGACTGCATCCATGCTTTTCCTTTATAAAGAGATGATGTGGAAATGTGCAGCTGCATCTCCCCAAGAGCTAGCAAACAGCTCAGGCTTATAGCAAGGACAGCTACCAGCTGCAGTTTGGTGTTTTAAAGCTATTAGTCAGGGCAGCAATAATTCCAGCTCCATATTCTAACTACTCCCATTGTGACTCGTGCTTCCCAGTGCTGCAGGAATAAGCCTTGCTATTCTCACCACGCCTCTGTAGCCTTTAATGTGCTTAATAACATAAACAAACCCTGTCCTAAAATACACAGGTAAAAACACTTAAGAGAAATAAGGAGAAGGAGCCAGTTTGCACAGTAATCATTCACCCAACAACAAGAGGTAACATTAAAGGTATGTAAGTGGTAGAGCCTCAGCTTCCTCATGTGCACCCTGCTGCAAGAGAAGATCTCTGCCTGCTTTGTTTGCACCAGTTACTTCACGCTGCTGAGGGAACAGACTGGGAGCAGATGCAACAAATAAAGTCACTGCTCTAAAAAAACCCACCAAAATGTACCTGCGTTCTCCAGTGACCTGCAGGGAACTTTCAGAGCACCCCAGGCAGATTTCTGTTATGCTGCATGGATCACAATCCCAAGCATTCCCTTTAAGGGCCACTCTGCACTTGGGAGCTGAAAATTTGGGGGGAAAAAGCCCTATTTTTTTGATGTTACTGTTTTACAGAAACAAGAAGCATCTCTGGATCAAAGAGCTAATAAGCATGTATTTAAGCTCCTTTTCCCCTATCCAAATCTAAATGCAAATCCATTCCCAGCCCTCCAGGCTCCTGAGCTGACCTTTCCAAGCTGCTTTCAAGCTACACATCCCTGTGCCTTCCCTCATCCCACTTTTTATCAAAAGATCACACCAACTCCATTAAATGATCCAGTTCTCCCCTTGCACACAGTCTCATTCTGCCAAAGGGATCTGGGCACTTCAGCTGGGGAATCTCACCCTCTATTTCCAAACCTTTAACCAAGAGACAGAGCTTCCCAGCATCAGAACCAAGACCCAGCAACTGCCAGGCCATGTTACCCCTTTACACCAGGGAAACACACCGAGTGCACTCACACAGATCACAAACCACAAAGACCTTGTTGTTTAGTCTGATTACATAAATATTTTCCCCGAGCCTGAGATACACCACCATTTTTGGACAATAAGCCAGAGTTTAGAGCATAAACAAAGATAATCACCTTCTGCTTGCCTAAAGGTGAGCTTCCTTTAAGCTGTGTCTCCCTGACAGACCCACACCCACCCTACAAGGAGACAACACCTTTCTAAGAAAGTTATTTCCCAGTATTTCACTGAAAATAACCACGGAGAGCAGTTCAAGTGTCCCTACAACCAGCAGAGCGGGGGAGTTATCTCTGGCATGTGCCACTTGAGGAGCACACAGATAAGCTGGCAGCTCCCTCAATCAGGGCAGGATGGTCCTGAAGCCACACCAGGAGACATTTCACTGCTCCCTCACACACGGGGGCACCGAAAGAATGCTGCCAGCACAGGAGAACCCCACCTGCCGACCCCAGGGGCTGGAGTCAGGGCCAGGAACCCAAGGGGAGCTGAATGCACAGCCCGAGGCACGGCGAGAGCGGCTTCAGGATCCTCGGCCAGCCCTGGGCTCAAAACTCTTCTACTTTAATAAAAAAAAATCATGGAGAACAAAGCTTGTTGCTCCTTCTTCCTCGGAAAGAGGGTATTTCCTAAACCCGCACCAACGCCACAATGGCGACAATTCTGAATCAGCTGGATTTTCTTTCCTGTGCTCCTGAAGAGGAACTAGCATTTTCCAGAAGCCAGCACGGGCAGTCGTGTAATCACACTAATGGGAGAACCTAAATGACCCGCTTGAGAAGTCCTGACAGACAAGTTCCCAAAACTGCTTCTGCGTGTATCGCGTGGTGTTTGAGCAGCTCCGATAATTACACGTGTTCACGTAATGAAAAAAAGCTAACACAGACTTAATAATTGTGCATCCACAGTGCTACCTGGCATTGCATCACCGCTGTGGAGATCTAGGTTAAAATGAGAAGAGTTTCTATTTCCTTCACCTCTGTATGAGGTTAAAATGAGAAGCGTTTCTATTTCCTTCACCTCTGTATGAGGTTAAAATGAAAAGAGTTTCTATTTCCTTCACCTTTGTGTGAGGTTAAAATGAGAAGAGTTTCTATTTCCTCCACCTTTGTATCTCAGCCCCAAAGGAAAAAGGGCATTACCCACACAAAACCCATCCCCACCGCATGAGTTAGTGAAGCCACGCTCAGAAGGAAGCAGGTTAGCCAGATTGTGAGCAGGGGTTTTGTGCGGGTCCTTGAAGCCCTGCGCGGCAGAACTGGAACCGTGGGGGCTGCTGACCCCCAGCCCCCGGCCCGGCGAGCCCCGCGGGTCAGCCCGGGACACCGGGCACGGCCGGCGCCAGCGGGGAACCGGCGCTGCACCGTGCGGAACGGGCACCGACCGGGGAACCGGCACCGACCGGGGAACCGGCACCGACCGGGACGGGCACTGTCCGGAACCCGGCACCGACCGGGACCTGGTACCGACCGGGGAACCGGCACCGACGGGGACGGGCACTGTCCAGAACCCGGCACCGACCGGGACCTGGCACCGACCGGGACGGGCACTGTCCAGAGAACCGGCACCGACCGGGACCTACCGGCACCGACCGGGGAACCGGCACCGACCGGGACGGGCACTGTCCGGAACCCGGCACCGACCGGGGAACCGCCACCGACCGGGACGGGCACTGTCCAGAGAACCGGCACCATCCGGGGAACCGGCACCGACCAGGGAACCGGCACCGACCGGGTACGGCCACTGTCCGGAACCCGGCACCGTTCGGGTGCAGGGGCCGGGCTCG